ACTTATAGCACGATTACAAAATAATGTAACAGACTATAGAGAGAATCTTAAATTAAAAAAAATGATGCTATCACAGACACCCATTTTCTGATTATAATGCTATAAAATTCAAAATTATCAATAAGATCAAAAGTCCTCACGGCCTCTTCTATCTGGATAATTAAAAAATACAAACCCTCTATTAATAATTTTTGAGTGAAAGAGAAAATACAAACCAAAGGTGCAGGATATCTAGGAAAGAATGATAAAATACTAGACAGTAAAACTTACTCGTTATAACTAAAGCAGCTTTCAGAGTACATTTATAGCCTTCAGAACTTAGGTTAATTATAAAAGAATAAAAACTAAGCATCCAATTCTGAAACCAAATAAAACTGTAATTACACAATGCCAAGAAAATTAAAATGAAAATATTATCTATCAATACAAATAGGGCAATGCCAAGACAGTGGCAAGCAGAGGCAGTTTTGAGGCAGTAAATATTTTAATTATCATGAAAGAAAGAGTAAAGTGGATAATAATAATAAATTATTATAATTTAATAATTATTATTATAAATTTATTATTTAATAATTATTTATTATCTCTGACTTCAAGAAGTCAGAGATAATACATTAAAACACAAAGAAAATATAAAAGCAGAAATGAGAAACTCAGAAAAGAGAAAATGATAGAACTGAAAAATCTGAGAACTGATCCTTGAATTGGAATGAATCAGTAACATGAACAATTCTCCAGCTGATTCAATAAGAGATGTAGAGAAAAACAAGCCAAAATCCGTAATGGAAGTAGGGACATATGATTATAATGGAGAATTAGAACAGTTCAGGAGAATTTTAAGTTCTATGGAGGGCCCTTCCTGTCTGTGGATTTCACATCTGCAGACTCAACCAATCTCAGATGAAAAATAGTTGGGAAAAATTTATTTTTACTGAACATGTACAGAGTTTTCCTCCTGTCGTTATTCTCTAAACAATGAATAAGTAGTTGTTATAACTACTTATTTGAGTGAAAGAGAAAATACAAACCAAAGGTTTACTTACATAGCATTTATGTTGCAGTAGGTATTATAAGAGGATGGTATAACTATGCTGGAGGATGAGAAAAACTATGCCATTTTATTTTATTTATTTTTATTTATTTTTTGGTACCGGGGATTAAACTCAGGGGCACTCAACCACCAAGCAACATCCCCAGCCCTATTTTGTATTTTATTTAGAGACAGGGTCTCACTGAGTTGCTTAGCGCCTTGCTAAATTGCTGAGGCTGGCTTTGAACTCGAAATCCTCCTGCTTCAGCCTCCCTAGTTGCTGGGATTACAGGTGTGTGCTGCTGTGCCCAGACTATGCCATTTTGTATAAGGCACTTGAGCATTTACAGGTTTGGGATATTTCCATACTAATAAGATTGAAAATCTCCTTGAAATGAGTTAATTTGAAGGCAAAGAGAAATACTAGGACTGTCTCAAGAAGGAACAGAAAACTATGACAGAAACAGGGAAGTTATCAGAGAATTATCTCCCAAGAAAAAGCCACAATCAGGAGATTAAAGAGGCAATTTCTTAAATATTAAAAAAATAAATAATTCCTATGATACATACACTATTCCACAGCAGAAAAAGAATTAAAAGTAAAAAATCTTTTTTTTTTTTTTATAGAGCTAGAATTGCTTTACTACCAAAATCTGATAAAGCCCACTCATACATATAAATCTCATTTATGAAATGAATATATGTGCAAAATCTTAAATAAGACCAAAGAGAACCAAATCACATATTAAAATAAAAAGTCACGCATGATAGTGAAATTGACTTTATGGTAAAAATAAGGAGAGGTCAATATTAGGAAATCATTAATAATATCCATCTTATTGAAAGGTAAAATTAACTGAGACTCAATAGATATAGAAAAGCATTTGGTAAGATTCAGTAGCTACTGTTGATTCTTTGGAATGAATCACATATCGGAAATAAGAAGGAGTTTCCTCAATGTTAGAATATATCTCACCAACAGCCAGCATTCAGCTTCATGACTTCTGCAGGTCTCTATCCCTAGAAATTAGGCTTCTGATTCTAAAGAATGTTCCTTAAGTGCATTTTTCTGTGGAGAGGGTTCATAGCTTATTGATCAGTGATCACTGAAGTCTTGTGTGACTCAATATACGTCTTTAGGGAAGCTCTGGGGACATCCCTTTTGACAAAGACAAGAAAAGACTCACCATGACCACATACATTGTTCTAACCATGTGTATTCTAACCATTTCCATGTGGACAAAATGAACTAGGTCACTCATTTTAGAAAAGAGGAGACAATTATCATTACCATCATGTGTGAAGGATTTGCTTGACCACCTGAAAAGAATCTGCTAAGTCAGAATCACTAGGAGAACCCAGGAAGATGCAGCAACTGTTTAGAAAATCTAGTGCATTTGTCTGGGGACAGGGTTCACATTTGCAATACCAATTAAACATTTATCTTAGCTAGGAATAAACTTAATGAAAAGCATGTAGGCCCTATATGAGGATAACTAGAAAATAAGTTTTGAATAAATTCAGCATCAGATTATATCTCTGGATAAAAAAAACTAATACTGTAAAGATCTTGATTCCTTCCTCCAAAATTAATTTTAAGTTTAATGTGAGTCTAATAAAAATTCCAAGAAGCATTTGTATAGAACTATACTTAATGTTCCAAAATTTCATCTGGAAGAACTTCAGAATATGTTATGGAGCTGCCATAATTAGATATAGTGTTAGTGAGGAGTAGACAGAATGATAGAGTAGAATAGAAAGATATCACAACCAGCAGGATGTGTGATCACTTAGTGTGTGATACAAGTCACTGTGAAAAGGAGGAACAGTTTAAACAAATAAGACCTTAGACAATTGCACAACCATTTGGTGAAAAAGAATTTGAATTCTTTCTTCACACTGTGTATCACGTTGAATTGAGTGCTTGTTCCTGCTGAAAGAAGAAGACACTTGGAGCCTAATTTGAAAGGCAGAAGCTGTAAGGAAAAAGGTCTTTATGAGACTGTGTAGAAATTTCTGGAATGGCTAAGAAAACAAACAAATGGAGCACAAACACACACAAACATGACATCAACACCTACAAACATAAACATACCATAAAAATATCATACACATATCATAAACACGATTGAACAGCAAGTGATCAACTGGGATGAGATATCTGTATCATGTTTGCTAGACCAGTGGTTAATATCCTCTACATACAAAGAGGCCTTTCAAATTACTACAAATCAGAAAACAGACACCAGGAGATGGAAAAAGGATAAATAACAAGGAGAGCAGTTCACAAAGAAGAAATACAAAGGGCTGATAAACCCATACAGGTTTTTCCAGTGGGCAAATAAATGTGAGTTAAAAATTCAATATACCATCTTTCATCTATCAAATTATCAAATTAATATCTATCAAATTTAACAAACGTTTAAGTGATGTATAAGGCTAGAATATGATACATTTGCATCTGTAGTTGGAAGAATGAGTCTAGACAAATTTTCTAGAGGGCAATTTGACTGTGCTCTTCAAAGTTCTTAAAACATTCATACGTTTTGACCAGGATTTCTTTTTCTAGAACCTTACCATAGAGATGCATTTAAATGAATACACAAAGCATATGGGTAGCAATTTTAAAACTCCTGTAATTTATAAGTAATTTTTAAAAAATAAGATTGAACAATTGCAAAACTAAATGTTGGCCATAACTTATGGTACATTTATATAATTTGATGTTATATTGCCATTAATGAGGGTCATGTAAAAGTATATTTTTCACCTATAAAGGTATTCATGGAACATTGTGAGGATAAAAAAAAAGTTAACACAATTTATTTCCTGGGATTCCATTTTGGTAAGAAAAAATTCCAATAAAAAATATTAAGAAAATGTTCAAAAGGACACATACCAATTTTTCATCACATAATTATTTGTTATTTGGGGGATTTTAAGTGTTATTAATTTTTCATATTGGATTATAATTTATAATTTTTAATATTGTTATCACTTGCATAATTAAAATATTACTTGGAAGAGAGAGAATTTAAGCTGGGCCAAAATGAGAAATAATATTTTAGAAAGATAAGAGAGCAACTAATGTATCTTTACTGTTAATTTCAGTTTTAACCAATTCAGCATGTCTACCTGTTAACATATGAACCAGTTCAATATTACTACTATCATCTTTATCATCTGTAAAAAAAAATACTATTTCATTTTTCAATTTCAAAAAAATTTTTCTAGCAAATAATCATTATTGGCTATTTGAGAGCAGACAAATAAATAATAGATTTAACAAATTTAAGCTGGTGCTCAGCAGTTCTGCTGGGCTCAATATTTGATGCCGTCCTCATTGGACATCCTGAACAGGGGTTCATTTTTGCTTGAAATGCTGATCTGTTAATTTTCCAGAGTTCTGACTCTGTCTACAAATAAATTTAACTTTTTATATGTTTGTAGGCTTATCTTCTTTTTTTGGAAATATTTATTTAGTTGTAGATGAACACACAGTATATTTATTTATTTTTAAGTGTGCTGAGGATCGAACCCAGTGCCTCACACATGAGAGGCAAGCACTTTACCACTGAGCTACAGCCTCAGCCCCAAGCTTATCTTCTTAAAAAAAAATGCACCATTCATTTTCTGTGATGATGCTCAAATACTTAGAATATTAATTCAAACACTCGCTTCCATAATGGACTGAACTAATGTCTTCCCTCTTGCTCCCTCTCCTGGGGTTTTCGTTCCATCTCTGACTTTCCCCCCATTTCTTTCTCTTCTTCTTGGTTCCTCTTCACCTCTCCCATCTTGCCCTTCTCTTTGTCTGTGTTCCTTTATTTGTTTTGGTCCTCACTCACTTTCTTCTCTGTTTCTTCTCTCTCTTTCTCTACTTTCATATTATTGTGTGTTCCCTCCTTTTCCCATTTCCTCTTCCTTTGCTGTCCCTCTGTTCGCTCTCCCTTGTCCCCCTATATGACAGGTCTATGACACATCACTGGAGAATGTGGAGGCTTTCGAAGGCCTGTCCGACTTTTGTAACACCTTCAAGCTCTACCGGGGCAAGACTCAGGAGGAGACAGAAGATCCATCTGTCATTGGGGAATTTAAGGTAAGTCCCTGAGGATGTGTCCCTGGGTCAGCCTAAGTGAAGAAGGGGGTGGGGGCAGTAACTACAGTGGTGACCGTGGTGCTGATGTTGGTGACCACGTGGGTGGTGGAAGTAGTGATGCTCCTGATGGTGGTAATGGGGCAGCATTGGGCTGGGTGAAGTTCATGTGATGATTCTCCTAGAGATGAGAGCAATGGTCACAATGGTTATCATGCTGGTGACAATGCTAAAAATCAAAATTAACCTCTCATTCTTTTCAGGGCCTCTTCAAAATTTATCCCCTCCCAGAAGATCCAGCCATCCCCATGCCCCCAAGACAGTTCCACCAGCTGGCTGCCCAGGGGCCCCAGGAGTGCTTGGTCCGCATTTACATTGTCCGAGCATTTGGCCTGCAGCCCAAGGACCCCAATGGGAAGGTAACTTTCCTAGAGCACTCAGAATGGCAGGCAGGACTACAGATGGCCTCAGGAGTCTGGACATGGTCTCTGCCTCAGGGAGTCACAGTAAGCTGGGGAAACCAGAAAAACCTCTGCAGAACTGAGATGTCACTGGATGGAGTTTTTGTCAAGGACCAAAATGTAGGAGGTCAGAGAAGGGCAAAGTTGGTACAGGACTTTGGAAATATGTAGAAGGTTTTGGGGAAGGAATAGGATTCTTAAGTACAGATGGAATTTTGATAGGTCAGGAGGGAGAAGAAAGTAGTATTTTAAGAGGAGTCAAAAGCACAGGCAAAGGTTTGAAATGGGAGGGCTTGGTCCATGGGCCATTAGGATGCGACATAAGGATCAGCCTGGAGAAGGTGTCGGTGGAGGCTGGGATTTACAGGGCATCCATGGTGGGAAGGAAGGAACGAAGGAGGGAGGAGCAGGGTTGGTAACTGCTGTGCCCAGCTGTGGTGGAGCTGGAGGTAGAAGGAAAACCAGGAATGCTGGAGGTGCCTTGATTTAACATTCTGGTGTTTTGTTCATCATGGATTATTGGCGTTGATTTTAATTTTCAAAACACTGCACTGAAGTATTATTTATCTTGAGTCCTGAGTTTTGGGGGCCCTCCCTTAAATTGTGTGCCCGAGGCAAGAGACTCAGCTGTCTCACTCTAATCCTGGCCAGAGATGGAAGAAGGAGATTTGAAGGAGGGAAGGAATCCGGGAGTCACAGGGAGACGGTGAACTGGGGGACAGAGGAACTCTGGAAAGAGAGAAGAGAGCTGAGAGGCAGGAGTGGTCCTTTCTTACCTCCTGACACAGGTTCAGGCCTCCTGTGTGTCCTTGAGGCTGTGGGGAGGGGCTCAGCATTCTCCTCCTGCTGCCTGGCCTCTCAGGGCTGGGAGGTCAGATGATCCTCAGCCTTGGCACCACAGATGGCCTCCAGGATGTGGCCGGGTTGGCTTATATCCTTCACACCTTCTCCAGCCAGACTTGCCCTGGGCCTTCTCTGGCTGGGCTGTTCCTGGAGGATAGCTGAAGGACTGCTGTTGCTTTTGGGCCATATCCAGGAGATCGGCTTGGGCCAGTCTTGGTGGAGAAAGTGGGACCATCTCTCCCCCTGTCCATCTGCTTAAGCAGCAGTCACAGAGGGGACCCCAGCCTGGCCTAGTCCCACATAGAATCCAGTCTGTCGAGTGTGCGAGCATGGGGGCTGGGCACTCCCCCAGCCTCTCCCGGTGGGGTGATGGATCAGGAGTAAGGAAGACTCAGGTGCCCCACTCCCACTGCAGGGGCTGAGGCTAGAGGCCTGTGTCAGGGGCCATGGGGTGTAGGGTGGGCCTCCTGGCCTGGCAGAATACAGTCCACATCATAGCCTCCCAATGGCTGGCCCCCTCACCCCGTCCGGAGGCAGGGGACTCAAGAAGCCCCCAAAGACACATTGGGATAATGATTTCACTTCAGTGTCTCTGTGTTGTCCTTCAGTGTGATCCTTACATCAAGATCTCCATCGGGAAGAAATCTGTGAGTGACCAGGATAACTACATCCCCTGCACTCTGGAGCCTGTATTTGGAAAGTAAGTGGGGAGCAGCTGGGTCCCGGGCTGCAGAAGCCAGTCTGGATACCCCACAGACCAGTGGGCAGATGGGGCTGCTGCTGGGCAGTTCCTTTCTCCTGGGGCAGAACTGTATTCCCTAAATCTTGCATTCGGTGGGTATAATCTGAGCTAGCTCTCAGTGAGCCAAGGGCTGGAGTCCCAGCAGAAGCCCCCTAGTTAACACAATGATTGCCTAGATCAGAAATCTGCACAGAAGCTCAGAAGTGCATCGATTAATTCCTTTTTGCATAAACTTTTTCTTTGGATTTACAGAAAAGTGACAGAGAGGATACCGAGTTGCATATACCTTTAGTCCTACTTTCTATCTTACCTTCACCCAAATGAGGAAATGACATCAGTGCATTGCTGTCCAATAAACCCTGGACTTTATTAGGCTCTCACCAGTTTTCCACTAATGTCCTTTTACCCTGCTTTTCTGGTCCAATGGACCATGTTGTAATCAATGATTTTTCTTTTAGTGCTCCACATGTGTCTGCTGTGGGTAGTTAGGGGAAGAATGTAGACACGAGAGAGTAAGTGATTCTGCAACGAGAACAATAGAAGGAAGTCTCAGTGCTCGTGCTACGGGAGCAGCTTCTGGGCATCCTGAAATCCTGAATCACTGCTTGGTTGTGAGCTTTTTTAGGTTGACAGCTGGTGGCTGTCTCTCTAGCACCTACAGAAGCAGCCTCTTCTGATAGAGTCAAGTGACATATTGAATTCATACCTGGTAATCCATTTGGTTAGTTGTTGTCATTTAGCCTGAGACCAAGACCCTGTCAGCCTGGGGAAATGCAATTTTTGAAGGGAAAAGGGTCCTGGTCAGCAATGCGTCACCACCAGGCTGGGACTGGAGGGAAGGTGGAGGGTGCAGAGGGCAGCGCTGTTTGCTGAGCCCCAGTGGCTGGCACAGGGCTGTGGCTAGTGGTAATGGGCAGTAGATGGGCCTGTCCCACAATGTGTGTGCGTGCGTGCCTGTGCTTGTGTGTGCACCCAGGGCAGGTTGGAGAACACACTCCTCTCACTCCCATCTCCTTCCAAATCATGCCTGAAGGCTGGTGTGCCTGGTGCTTCTTGCTCCCCCAGATCCCAGCAGAAATACTCTGTACAACCCTTGAGATAATCAAACACAGCTTTGTTGTCTGACAGTGCCCTTCCCTGATGGATGTTGTGGTAGGCACATGGCTTTTCTGCCTTCTTTGAGTCCTATCTATCTATCTATCTATCTATCTATCTATCTATCTATCTATCTATCATCTATCTATCTATCTATCCACCTACCTACATTCGTACCCACCCACCCACCCATCCA